CTGTCTGTTTTCGTTCTGCGGTCAGATTTGATTAAAAAAAAAAAAGAAAATAAAACGACGACTGAACTCACCATGCAATCGTCTAGATGAGGAACAGTTGGTGGTAGTGTCGATATTCAAATGTTGTTTCAAGAATGCGTATGATGATGATGATCATCACTATCAAGAGGCTAGATCAATGTCATACTCAAGTAGCTTTGTTTCGCTGCTGACCATTACTCTAACACATCTGGCATTCCATTGAAAACAAAAAAGAAGAAAACGACAAGATCTTTCGACTATAATTACACGTGATTTGTTTCCGGTTCATCATCACGTAATCGTCGTCGTCCCTAATTTTTTTTCTTTAGTTCTAATTGCCCGCCTTTAAACGGACATACAAAGACCGGAAGGCAGACACACTATGTGACTTACATTCATTCATCTACTATATAACTACCCATTTTCAAGCTTAAAGAAGTCGTTTTAAGTGAGAAAGAAAAACGATGTTAGTACCCTGAGGCCAACACTGTCTCGTATATAGAAGTTGAAATTACGCGATGTAAACGGTAGTAATTTTCTTTTTTTCTCGCTTCGTATACGAATCACCTCAAGCTTCGTAATCATTCTCGACATACAACACATACAGAAGAAAAAAAGAAATGAAATCAATGAATTTTTCCACCTATTATATATGTATATATGTCGACTACTACTGGTTACTCATTAGAAACGATGTATTGACATATTGTCGTAATTGACCACTATGTATTTCTCTATATGCATGTTTGTACTTATCCTAACTTTGACTATTTCATAGGAAGAACATGAATCGTTGTGCCGATAACTGATCGGTCGATCCCTAGATATCTATGTACGTATGTGTAACCACCGGTCAATCGACACATTTAGTATAAGGCGACAGAAATTATACGGGCGACCTTTCACCATTGATGGCACTTACAGATGAAATATGAACAACAAACATCAGCACTATCCAAACTAGCTGTTCGTTGTGATGCAATAATAATGCTCAACTACTGTCAAACAATAACGAGAAAAAGAAGAAAAAAAAATTGGAAAGAACAACACTTAAAACACAAAGTATATGGAATACATTTAAAGTGGCCCTGCGGAGTAGTGCATTTTGAAAAATGGAAGTTTATTCGCTGTTCTCTCTCTCTCTCTCTCTCTTTTTCTTTCACAATGTAAATTGAGAGCATAGCTCATTTTCACGGTCAACCGCGCTGATCATTACCTACTGTCTGACCGGACTTACGAGTCATATGAACTGACTGCTGCCGGATGTATAGTTGTACTATGCTTTGTATTCTTTTAATAGGTTTTTTTCTCTTACGAACTGACCGACATGAAATGCCACGCGTACACACGTGTACACATCAGAGATTAAAAAAAAAGAAACTGGACACATCAGGCAATCGGTCGATCAAGAGCCTGTCTCTAATGCGTCAAGTAGAATTATCAAAAATTCATCATTTTAACTAAGTAATGACTAGTCTAGTCCCGTGAGATTATACAATGGACAGATTGACTTCTATCGAACAGGCAGTGACCATTTCCATTTGGTTCGATTAGCATCGATTTCTTTTTCTTTTCTCTCTCTCTCTCTCTCTCTCTCTCTCTCTGTAGACAATCGATTTCTCATATGAACGAAAAATACTTATTATTTAAGTTAATTCTGATTTAAAAAAAAAGTATTATTTTTATTGCTAACAGAAAGAATGATATTTATGTTAACAATTCATCATAAGAAGATTATATACATATGAAATGATCACAGACAGACCTAGTTGTTATACACATGCAATTTCTACTTGCCTTGCAGTCTATTGATGCTATTATAGATAGAATAAGAATGTAACCCTCCTTTTTCTCTTCACATATGTGTATAAATTGTCTGTTAATGATACAAGATAAATATTATGACGACCACCCTTTGCTTTTCTCATGGTCAGTCGTTCGCTTTCCAGAACAACGATGATATATGAATGTGTTTCACACATTGATTGAACATCATGTCTGTTTTGATCTTGAAATACAATCAGCCGGTCGTTTACAGAACATCTGGTTTAATTGCTTTCAAGAGGCTTGTATTATATCTATACATATATATATATATATATACGTATATACCCCATACTAAGACGATCAAACGATGATGATCCTTTGCTTTTTGAATGAAGAATAACATAGATTTACTCATAAAAGAAAAAAGAAAATTGATGATAGCAAAGGTAGCTCATATGTCAAAATAGACAAACTAGTCAATCTTTTTGAACTATTGTCTGAATGAACATCAATCACCGTTGTAAATTATGATTATGCTGATAGGATAAATCTTATCTGGTCAATGGACTAGGCATCTGGTTGATGAAATCACTTCTTGCTATAATTCAATCTCGACTTAATTCACAAACATATACTCACTATGTTTATCCATATGCTTGTGTGTACAAGATGGTTGGAGACAATTTAATTGTTCTACTAACGCGGGCTCGTATGAAATTTCAAGGCGAAAGTGAATTCTTTTGTTTGAACAACAGATCAGTCTATTGAATGTATTGATAGAAAAAATTGTACGATGACAAAGCGCATATACATACACTGGGGGATGCTTGTTGTTGCTGCTGCTGCTGCTGTATTTAATTGAATCTATTGTCTCTTATTCTCGTTCTCTTCAGCTATTATCACGCTCGACTCTCTTGTTCTTGATGTTTGTTGAATGTGTCACCATAGTTCAGCCTACCGATGATCATGATGAACAACAGAGATGGTGACACACAAAGATACCATCTGTTCAATGTATCAACTAAGAAAACATTAAAAAAATTGCATTTATAACATCAGATTTAAATTTATTTGTTTGTTTCATAAATTATTAACTTAACAATATTATTTAATACTAATATCGTATTATACTTATAAGCAAATGTTTATATAGAACTGACATATATCGATATATAATAGTCAATAAGAGAAAACTTTACATAATTGTTTCGGCTTATATAAGATTTGTTTTATGGGAAATTAATAAATTAAATGACTATATAATTATACGAGAAGATATTATCAACGTAAGAGTTTCTTCGTCTATATCTATTTTTGTTTAGTGCATTTGTTAAATTGAATTTTAGCAATGATTAGTTTAACAGTTCGATGGTAAGTGTTCACATAACATGCCATGCATACATAGTATCTACTATAGATAGTATAGTTAAAGATAAAACTTATCGATAGTCTTTTCATTAAATGTCAACAAGAAATATTTCTTAAGACGATCAATTTAACGAAATACTTAATTATACATAACGAACAATATGATTACGTATCTTACGAAAACTTCTATTTTAATATCATTAAATTTGCATGATCAAGTGTACTGTAAAATGATCTAGTGATTCATTTGATGATAGTCGCCAATCATCAAATGACATACCGAAGAAATCTGAATTTTTACGGTTCTATTATTATACTGTAAAGAAACTAATATTTCAAGTTGTGATAATAGAATTCTTGACAATTAAATTTTACATATTCTGAAAAAAGAAATACTAATGTATAATTATTCTCGGAAGTTGTGTGGCGAGTCATGATTTTCTTCTCGATTACTTTCTCTTTGTTAATGTTTCTTATAGAACATTAGGATAATGTTCTCTTACTGATAAATTTTATTGTACACATGTGATCTAAAAAATATTCAAGCAAAATTTTTCAATAATTGAATACTTATGCATATATATGGTTTATACAACAATAGAATTAATTATTTGCTGTTATTGTATATCATCTTAGCTAGTGTCACAGCTGAGCAATGCTGACACCTTTGTAGTTTTCTAAAGAAGAAAAATAAAAGAAAAAAAAAAAAACATTAAAAATCCAAGTATTATATCATTCATCATATAATGTTTCTTTTGATATCACCCATATCGATTCATTTTCATTTCTAATCTACATAATGCATTCCATTAAACAATAAAGAAAAGAAAAATGTCTAGATTAAAAAAAAAAAGAATTCTTGGTAAGGTTAATTCAAATCAAATTTAAAATTCTAAATAAAAGTAAATGTTTGTTAATCAGATAAATATAGATTAAGAATGTCCTAAATTTGAATAATGAGTAATTTTATGTATTTCACCAATAACTTCTTTCATGAAATTCTAAAATTTATTACTAACCTTTATACAAATTTAGATTAAATATTCTTTTTTTTTTTTCAAGTTCGAATAAAATGGTAACAAACCTTATTAGAATATTATTCAAATGTGCATATAAATACATGCTAAAATGGACTTATCAATACAAGAATGAAATATATATGCCTCAAATAATTGTATATTATTCGCGATTAACTATCATGCACATATATATATATATATATATGTTGATCCGATTTCATTCTTCACAGAGTTTGAAACGAAGACCTTCGTACATAATCGTATCAAGGGCTAATACAATTTGATATAACCTACAATAGCATTTGTCGACTTATATTGCACGTAATAAAGCAGTCAGAGAAAGCGATTTTCATAAATGATTAATGAATTATTGTGAAAAAAATAAAAACAAGTTCTGAGTACCTATTCATTTTTGATAGAAATATTTTCTTTTGTTCATTGCCTATTTACTATTTAATATCTTGATCGAAATAATTTACTGATATTTATATGATGCAGAAACTGAACTTGAATTTTAATTAGAAAAACTGAAAGTTTTTCTTTGCAATTATTATAATTACAAGACATTTAACAAAACAAGCATTACATGAATGATTTCATTTTAGAAAATAAAAGTAACTAATTCCAATGATTGACAATCTTTGATGAGAAAAAAAAAAGAATTTTTTAAATCATTCGAGAATAATTCAATATTAAGAAAAAGTTTAGATTTCATCAATGTTATGTAATCTATAAAATAAAGTTTCTATATAAAACAACTATTTATTTTTACAAGAAAATATTGTACAATATAAATAAAAGTTGATTTATTCAACATAGAATTTATCAACAATGTCCATGATGACCACCTCCAAAATGATGACCACCACCGAAACCACCATGATGATGACCATAGCCAAATCCATGATCCATATGATGATGAGGTCCAAATCCAAGTCCCGAGTTCATATGATGATCATGATGATATCCTGGACCAAATGTATGAGAATAATGATTTGGTCCCATATATGGATTGCGATGATGACGATGATGATGCGAATAACCACTACCCATATTTGTTTGAAAAGTTAATTGTATACAAAAGTTTTATTTTTATTAAATGAACTGACTTGGCCATGCAAGAGCTTTTTATATGTGAACTATCAACACAAAAAGAAAAGAAAAACGTCATCCCTCGTATTTTGCTAAAAAACAAAAATATTATTCACTTTCTTCTTTCAAGAAGGAAAAGAATAAGTAAGAGGGCATGAATACTCTGAAAAGAATATTCATGTGACTCACAATTCAAATAACAAATTAGATGACGACAATCGTTTGACGCACGAGTATGGATTTCTAATACGTTGGGCTTTTTATTAAAGGTTAATAAAAAAAGAAAAAGAAATCTTCTTCTATGATAAATATCGTCAATGATACTTGATCTAACATAAAATAATGACGTCTTTTTTTTTCACTAAATAGATAACAATACATATTTATTATGAGTAAGTCTGACATGAATTAATAAATGAGATCGATGACTAATACTAGAAGAATATAGAATTTACAATTGAATTACGTAGTAGAAAAAACTCTAACAAATATTTATTCAGGACATTAGGTGGCAAAAAGTATGAATGCTGGAACTGATGAATATTTCTTTTCTGTCCTAAGAGTGTCAATAATTTTTACATTTGAATAGCATTTATTAGGAAACGTTTTGCTCTTATTAATAGACAAAAGAAATGATATTCACACGACGAACACTAGTATATCCATCGTATCAAAAACACATTAAGATGTGTGTTTAGTTACTTAGAGTCAATTTTTAACAGTGTCAAGATAACAGATGCAATAAAAAAAAAAGATATCTAAAAAAGAAGCAGATATTGACAAGAATATCATTGGTGTTCTTGATATTCATACAGAAGACTCAATATCAAGGAATTATAGAAGAATACCGAGTAAACGCCAATTCACACAATCCTAAGAGTAATCAATCGATAGCTGGATGCGTTCCAAAGAAGAATTATAAGACTGTCGTAAAATTGCAGTAAAAAAGACATGATATAGTTATACTTTATTCAAGACTATAGATTATTATTATTATTGGTTATTGTTAATTTTAATTTTAATTAAATTTCATCAATTGAATAAATTTGATATTTATAATAATTCTTGACTTTATTCAAGTCACATGATAGTTAATGTCAATCATATATAGTCGATAGCTCATAAATAATGAAACACTTTAATTTTCTTTTTCTTTTGAATACAGCTACACAGTTAAGTGGCACCCTTCTAAGCTCATTCGATAGAAAATGTTTTGTGCTATACAACTCTCGACGGTGTTCTTCAAATAAGTTTCTTCTGTTGCAGAAAAATCGAAAACATTGACAGCTACTCAACCATTGAAATGCGACTATCAGAAGAAAAAAAACAATTATTAAAAATTTGTTTAAATAACAGTTCAACTGAAATCGAAATATACTGTATCTTACAATGCTTCGCAATTTTAGAAACAAACATTTGGATAAACAATTTTCACAAGCAAAAATTATAAAACGATGCAAAAGACTTGTTTTGATAACTCTATGCGATTAAGGACAATTTACAGATTTTTGTTGTTGAGTTTAAATGTTGCATCATTTTGTTCAGAATTAAATTTTGCATCCGATGATTTAATGATGAATCATTCATAGAGTATGATATCTTTTTTGAAAACATGAGTTGTAAAAGCGTATTCAAAACACCAAACCAGCAGATAATAATTCCGAGTCGCTTGTAACTGAACGACATCATTAGGAGCTTTGAGAAGGTCTTGAAAACACAGAGCATGAAGTTCTCTATCTATTAATGCTAAATTTCTTAACATTTAGCACCAAACTTGATGAGCAATAAGTTTGTACAAAATCGTTAGATGTCCGCGGAAAATAATACAAGATAACAAGTGGGTGCTGAATCAGCCGACAATCTTTCCAATTTCTCATCAACAAAAAAAAACTTGTTTAAAAAGATGAAGTCCACATATTTGTAGAGCAAAAAATTCTCTACTGAATAAGCTTCGAATGATGTCTTTGCCATTCTAAAAAAACTAGAAAATCACATTATCTCATTATTCATGCACAATGCGTTATAATTATTGTCATATTTTTTAGAATTCTTCTCAGCATATACTGTTTATCAAAGAAAATTTAATTATTAACATACGGACATATTCATTGACTAATACCTCATCTTTTCTATATTTTAGTTCAAATATATTTTGATTCTTACTGTCAAATAATTTCCTTGTAAATTAAATTGACCAATTGACAAGGAATTATGTATCTTTCGTTTGTTCTTGCTAAAGAAACATTAATCTAGAGGATTTAATCATTTACGATTCTTTATGTTTTACTTGATTTATTTTAACTTGCAAAAAGAATATGGCATGATAAATAATAAGCTATAAATCTAATCTTGTTGGGTGACAGAGAATTCATCAACAGTATTTTTTTTTAAACGCTCTATTAATAGTTTGATTCAATTACACAAAAACCAGACGTTATGGAAGACGAGATAAAAATACTCAAACATTTTTTTGTAATAAAATAGCAATGTGGATAATCATTAGATTAGAAAAGATGAACTAATTCAATCAGCTGTACAGTTATATCAGTTTTAACATTGTTTAGGTTTTTTCTTATTGATTCATAATGTCAATTATGAAGTTTATCAGTATCAAAGCTCTTTTAATTTATGTTACAACAAAGTATATTTGAGACATCATGCGTATTTCGAACTAAACATTCAGTTGTTTAAATGAAGTTAATTCGATTTTACTGCATCATTGGTTTTTACTATCTACGCCAATCTTTATTAGAAAAGTTAGGTTTTTTTCTACAGAATAGTCAAATAATGCTGTTCTTCTCTTGACCTGGGATTAATTTTGCACTGATCCCATTTTGATCCCCACCCCCTCCCTTTTCTTTACAGTAAAGTGTCAAAATTCAACTATTACCAATGAAATAAGTAGATTGATTTAATGATTTCAAGAATTCATTTGATCCTACATTGCAAACAAACAGTTTTTCTTTCTCTTTCTTTCTTGTTAGACAAATTTAATCAACTATTTTGTCCTGGCTTTGTGATTAAATTATTAGAGGATTATGGTTAAGACAAATGAAAAATAGAGATAGTCGAAAATTTGAGAACAAAAAGTTTTTTTTTTTTTTTGAAAGTGAAATTCGGAATGCGGACTTAAGAATATTATTTAATCAATTATTCTTTCTTTTTATAGATGTATAAAGGAAAAGAATATATCTTCAAAAACGATATGCAGTTTTGTTGTATCATGCATTATTCATATGTCAACGCGATGTATTATCATATTGATTTTTTATTATAATTCTTAGAAAAGAAGAAAGTTCAAGCTTTTGATTTGCATATATATTAAAAATAGCTGTTCAATAGTTAAAAGACAAATTTTACAATGATTTTAAGGTAAAACTCATGAAATATGATGAAAAGAAAAATTCAATTGACTTTATTGTTAGATGAACATCGACATCAGAAATATCTATTATATTAGTAATTGTATTACATAGTTGTAGATATGATGTTTTTTCTAGCATTAAATCAATAGAACATATTAGTCCTTTTTCAGTTTTCTAAAATAAAAAGAGCCATATTAAAATACTTACTTAGTCAAAAAGTTGAAAACATTATAGCTCATTTGTATGTTGAACAAATAAAATAGAATTCAATCTTACAGCTACAATCGCAGAAAGAAAAATTTAATGTCTTTATGTAAAAGTGTCGGCCAGATGGATGCAGTGAAAAAGAAATATAAGTTTCTTTTGAATTTTTTTTCACGTTTCTTATCTTTTACAATTTCCTTTTACTTTTGGAAAATGAGTACCAAAAGTAATGAGAATTTTGAAAAACAAAGAGACGACAAAAACAGCTTGCTTTAAATATTATCTCATTAAATACGTAAAGTAGTTTTCATGGTTATTTTACAGAAAATTCTATTGGTTCAAGTCATATACAAAAAGTATATTTATACTCATTTTTATTAATCAAGCTCAACAAGGATTGCTAGTTGCTTGGTCAGGTTATATTCTGTTTGACTCAGTCGAATAATCCAAATTTATATGATAATATATCTGGAAATTTTTATGATTGCTGAATAATGTTAATGCCTTCTGATTTGGGACAGTTAGATACATCTTCACAAACACGTCATTTGACCATGTTTTGATGAAGTTTAATGGCATGTGTACCGGATACTGATCTTCTATTTCGAATTTCGTCGATAAGAATTTTCAAACAATTATCGATTCGATGGCGATGATCGATGGTCTGCACCTGTTCAACATGATGGATAAGCATAGAACCGTTAGTTCTGAAAGAGCTACAAAAAAGAGTTTTCGGAGCTAAACGGCTGAGCTGAAGGAGTGGGCATCGGATGTGGATCAGTATGATCATGTGAATGTGTCCCTACGTGTGAAGTGTCGGTATCAATGTGTTTGGATGTGCGTATGGACACATTGAGAGGAAGTTTCGTATCACACAACCTTTTCCGTGTCTCACGCCACACACTCATACACCACCTGAAATGATAAATAAATAGATATAATATGATAAACTACTTGATGAAACTCTGACAAAACAGAAACAATCGTTAGATATGAAACGGTTTCTTATGTTCGTTTTCAAGCTCTCAAGAACATATTTTCATGCGAAAAAAACAAGAAGAATAATCGAATGTCAGTCGAAGATGCTATGGTTATAGAAATCTCTATTGAGAAACTAAAAAAAGAGACTGAAAAAGATTTAATCTGACTAAAAAATCTCTTATCCATGCGATCGTGTATTGGACAAGTCAAAGATTGAGAAATAATCGAAAATTTGCGTAAAAACATCACTCCTTTCATAGTTTATTGATAGAGTAAGAGAAAGATCAAAAGATGCAGTTTAACTAACTGGGCGACCGATCCAAACATGATTTTACAGATGAATATAGTTGCATCGGTCTTTGCAAATAGTGCATGTATCGATTGGATGTTGTCGATAGCACATTCAACTTATGAGTGATATTCATTTTAAAATAAATGCGAAAACCTCGGATTTAAATCCGAGTGTTATGTGTACTTCAAAAAAGTGAAAAGGTACATTNTTTCCTTACTTTTGGGCCACCCGGTAGTTGATCAATATAAAAGTTAAATAAAAAATAAATAAAAAAAAAAGGTGTAACCTTCAACTTTGGCTTGATCTGAAACACGTGTATAATTAGTATATGCAGCATTTTCAAGACATTTTCGAATAAAATGTCGTATATCATCACGAGATATTGGTGTTGATAAATCTTTGGCAAGAACACGTTCAAGTAAACTTAATGTTGCTTTTAATGCACCATCAGGTCGACCAAATGGAAATAAAAATCTTAAAAAAAAAAAAAAAAAAAAAAAAATCTTTATAGAAAAATTGAGAATAGTTAAACAAATATATTTTTATAAAGAAAAGTTAGAAAACCAAGGTTATTTAATATTCATTAATAATGAAATAGTTTTAAGTATGTACATTAGTAATCTGTAGCAAATACAAATGTTCTTGTCATTACCATTAATGAGTTTTACTAACATAGATTTTTTTTTTCTTTTTCCGTCGACGGATATCCGGTTTAGACAATAATTATTATCTTGATATTTCTCAGATTTATCAAAAAAAAAAAAAAAATTTGTTGATATAAAATTCGATTGAATGTAATGAATATATTGAAATGAAAAGAATATATACAATATTGTCGAAATATACTTAAGTTGGTACTTTGTTAAATAGACCGACAGATGTACATATAAAATAGTAAAACAGCTGTTGATATGCATCTATCTCAGTTCCAAATGATATCACACATAAGAAAATGATCAGATATTATTTTGATAATAATCAACAAACGGTAACAGTTGTCAGAATAACAAAACAAAGAATTTCCTGTATTGATATATATATATATGTAAATAGATTTGAGCTTTAATAATATAATATATTACTTTTAATTTATTATTGATTTTATATATATATATATAAGTACGAATAAAAGAATATCCATTAATAATCGTTTTGTAATCGAAAGAACATAATTGACTCTCAACATTTCCTTCTTTAAAACAAGTACTTGTCATCGTTTTTCGAAGAAGCTTTTTCTTAAGTGACTAATATTAATTGTAACAATAGGAAGAAAAAAAACACTTACTTATATGTAATATGAGAATGCAACTAATATTATATTGTGCCTACTTACTCAATCTCTCAAGGTAATGTCTTTTCTATGATTAGTGTAATACGTAAAATATATGAAAATAAAATTGAGCCAAATAACAATAACTTTCTTCAATGTTTTTTTCTTTCTGACTAAATGTCTTTCGTGCAAATGCACACTGAAAAAATGAGGATCCTCGAACACGATATCATATATTTATGAAGTGAATAATAGGTGAACTATTTTTTATAGGAATTGCACTTCATCAATCTCCATAATTTAGTGCCTCTCCTAGGGGAGAGTACATGTTATTTTTTGTTAGTTGTTAGATGTTTTATTAAGATCCCATTGAAACACAGAGACTAAGAGAAACGAAGCACGATATGAAGAGAAATTAAAAACATTTTCTTTGTTCTTTATCTTTCTTATTGTCATTTACTTCCATATATTCTTTCGGGGTGTTACGTAGATTGAACTTTACGAACTTGAACTTGAAAATCTTATTCGTTTATTTATGTTAGATCAACTATTTCTTTCGTATATATACGATCGATAAAAATTTGAAGATAATTTCAAAGGTATGAAATAAACTTCAAAAATGACATCGAAAAGATTTCATTAGTTCTAAAATGATTTCAGATAAGATTAGAAAAACTTTTAATAATATAAACAGATTATTGTATAAATATAGTACACAACAATGGTAAGATATCAGACATTTTATTTTCAATTTTACTTAGATATAATAACGATAGTTTTGAATTATTTTATAAAAGTTTTCAAAAAACATTAACCATCAATGTAGAGCTTAAAAGTCATGATATCCTAGTTGATTTTTGTCTCATATTTAAGAGAGATGTTCTGAGACGAAAGTATGAAGTAAACATCTGTTACCCATCAATATTCTCTTTATAGAAAGTCTTGGAATGAAAACTATTTTCTATATTCTTTCCAGAACATGTCTACTAAAAGGGCAAAAGTAAATAGACTTACTCAATCACTGGTACATCGAATGTTATGTGTTAATGTTATTGAAAACTTTAATGAGATAATAGCATAACATTATTGTGTTTTCTTAATATCATCTAAGACAATAGCACTTGAAATTTTACAGTTCTTTTTGAAGTGTGCTGATATAATGACTAACTTACATTCTAATGGATTGATTTATAACATGGTAGAGACAAACGATAACTTGTGAAATCGTTATAAAATAAATGCAATTACCGCTATCATATATATATGTATATATTTATAGATAGATAGATAATATGAGTTTGTAACTTTATGCCATGTTAATGTTTATATCCATCGTTGACAGGTACTTAGAGAACGGTAGATTACATGAGAAAGAACAAACTTGACATTTTACAAAGCTCCACCTGTAGATCAGATTGCATAGGAAAAATCGTCTTTCCTTAGGCATTTACATATAGTAAATATATAGGCACGACTTATTTTCTCGTTCAAATTTATTCATACTACAGTAATATAGGTAACGTAAGTTTTTATGTAAATAGCAACGTGAGATCTTTCATATCTATCATTATCTAAAGTATGTAATATGATGTTCTTCCATAGAATACAGATGTAAATATCTGTAAGACGTAAAATATTTCATAAATCATACGTACATGACTATTAATCACTTTTTTTTTTTTTGGTGTTGTTGTTGTTATTAACCATTGGCATCTGAAAATGGGATGATAATGATAATAAAGCTACAAAATGGAAAGAAAAGAAACGAAAAAGAAAGAAATACATTGGTAACTATTTCCAAGAGTTTTCTGATATTAAATCATGCAAATGACTATGCGATGCATATGAATAGACATGTCTGTCATTTGATCAGAGGTCGAATTACTACATTTAAAAGAAAAGATTCTATATTGTTCATTGACAGTCATCATAAGTAATTCTTCATAGACCTTTTTTTTTTCATTCTATATTCGACAAAGGAAATTTTTCTTTTTTTTTTTTTTGTGTTTTTTGATTTTATCTTTCCTTAAACTTTATCGATCAATTTAATTCATTATAGTTACTCATACCACCACATATGTGGTAGGTTGATTTTTTTTTTCTAGATTTTCCTTTCTTTTTTTTTGTTTTTGTTTTTTAAATATAGTAAACAGTAATACCTGATACATGTGAGACTTCCTATTGCATATTTGTACGAATGAATGACATGTGTTGGTTTGTATATGATGCTGTTATTTTGCATCTTTCTTACCAAAAGCAATCGACTCGACAAAGATAAGAAATACTAAGAAGACTCTGAAGCATCTACAGATATTGTCACCTTCTTAAATATTGATTGTTTTCTTTAATTATCTTTGTTCTTCTTCATCTTCTTGTTATCAACAATATTTAAACAGAAAAAAAATTATGGGTGTTGCTATGGTGATCAGTGGACGACTTGGAACAAGTAAGTGATTTTATTTTTATATAAACAAAAAAAAAAAAAAACGAAAATAATATACGCATGTTTCTTTCAAAATTAAACTAATCAGACAAGAAAATGGAAAAGATAATGATGTGCGAGCATGCACATACCATTCCGGAAATGTTTTTCTTTAGTAACATAACGTGCGTAGGAAGTTCATCAATTGTCTTGATGTTGAATAGAAAAAAAAATCATTTCTAATATATAGAATTTGTTGAATATGGTGCCCTTAAGATACATTTGATATTAAATCATAATACGCAAATTGACCTTTATTTCATTTCATTATTTTTTGACATTTGCAATGACTTGTTGTTGATATAACGTTTATCAATCGGCGCCGTTTTTGCTTTTCTTAATTATATAATATTAAAGTGTCAATGATTTATTTTTATTTTGTTTTGTTAAGAATGGTATTGTTTAAGAAGGAAAAAGAGAAAATTTCTTTTTATGAATAGTTTTTTTTTTTTATTTGAAAAAGAAATCGGAGTTTACTGCTACTACTAAGAAAAGAAAAATATTCTTCTTTTTTTTTTGCGTGTCAGAAATAATCTGTCTCCTTCGAATAAAAATAAGTATTAAGAGATATATGTCATTTTTACTTCATAGGTTTCAAAGAAGTCATCGTAATAATGATTATTTAAGTAGATTATAGAAGAGCAGAAAGAGTCAATTTATTTAGATGAATAAATCTTTTATACTTTGTTAATAATAATAATTAATAGAAGAGAGAAAAAAAAGCAACAAGAAAAATTATTGAATATACATTTGTATATTTGTGTTTTTTATCTAGAAATGATGATATTTATAATATTTATTTACATATGTTTATAAAAGAAATTCATTCTTTATTTAATGTTGGATAGAAACAAGTTCAAAATATGCATATCGAATTATTCATTGTTTTGAGTGATTTTTATATCTGTCAGTTACTTCTGAAAAATTTAATCTTCTGTCAAAAAATAAAAGCACCAAATGTCAATATTTCATTTATAGATTACTAAGTTCCTTTCTATTTTACATGTTAAGTACATATAACAATGATGCTATATACATCAACATGACACGCCTCTTGTTCGTTTTGTATGGAAAATTTGTCCCTCTTGGCTGTTCGATTGGCGAGTTGTTTATCTGTCAATTACGATAACCGCATTATATGTATATATGAGCAGCAACTGATAGACGGATGATGATATATGATTGCTTTAACAGTAATAGTAGCAGTTAAAGATAATGATAAGTTATCTATCCATAAATTAAGGTTGCTTCATCACTTTACTTTATCATTATCTATAATATGAAAATATAAACCATGTGCACAATCATTCTTATATGACATTTCATAGAATAGCATGCATATATTATATATATATATATATATATTATATATATCATTTCTGACAAGAAAGAATTCTAACATCGCGACTTGTATATAATATCATGCGTTTTCTCGCATTTTTTTCTCTTCTTCTAACATACACAATCTAGTCTCTACTCTTCTCGTCAACCATTAATCTTTTTAGAGTTGAGAGCGAACGAGCGAGATAGCAAAGTGAATGAAGAATGTGCGCAACTAAGAACGACAATGAAAGAGCGAGAAAAAAAGTTTTGCATCTGAAGAAGAAATCTATTTACTGTGCCATATTCTTTCTATTCGTCCGAAAGATAACAAAGCTAGATTTAGGAAAGAAATTGAAGAGAATCTTCTACTATGTTCGATACTTTGACGTATAGTCTGTCAATTCTGTCATCATTATTCTTATTGAACACATAGCCAGTTTACTTTATTCAACATTCATTATCATCTGAATTATGATTGAGGTTGAGCATTTTTCCATTTTTTTCTTCCTTATTCTTTGCTTTCTTTTTTCTTTTTTCTCAATGTAATATCGTGTACACGAATAGAGAGAGAAACACGCTTTTTTGTTTGAGACAAAAAAGACACTCAAAATGTCATTTTTCCATCCCTCTCTCTCTCTCCTCTATGTCTCGAGAAAGGCAAACGGTTTCTTCACGGACGACGACAACGATAACAACATGACATTCTACTCTCGCCTTTTCTCAATCATCATCAATGCCCAGACCACCCACATTTTTCTAAAATCTTCTTTTTTTTCTCTTCATTTTCGTACAATGTGCTATGAATAATTGATTACCGACGACTATAACAAATTTTCCTATCTAGAAAAGACGATTATTTTAGATACAGAAGAAAAAAATAAGAAAAAGAACCAGAGAAAATCATAAGAAGAAATGGCACAATCGTTATTTTGATCCATAGGAGAAAAGAATCGATTAGCTATAACTTATTATTATATAAACATATAGACATATATATATATATTGTCCAATTCGTCTAAACAATGATCTCGAACCATTTAATATTGTAGAAGTCGTATGGATGATCGACGATGGACGAGTATTCTTCGTCCGTCTGCTGTAAGTTCTTCTTTATTTTTGTTTTTTTCTCAGTTATTTTTTTTATTTGATTCGTATTTGTACCAAACCTAATTATTATCCGAAAATCTTCAGAGATTTCATATATGTGTACGTGTCATCGAACTAATTGGCAATTTAGTATGCGACTAAATCTTTATGTATGCGTATATGTTTTATTAAGAAATCGAGAAAAAAAAATGAAAAGAAAATTTAAAACGATGAATGTATGCTTTTTAAAAATGATTAGCAAGCAAACACGTATTTAGATATATTTTATGCATTTAATGTAATAATAAATCACGATATGATTTTTTTTGTTAAGTGCCCAGTTGTGTATTTGGCTTGATTCATAAAAATGTGCGTCAATGGCATGCATATTTATCTCATCAGTAAAAAATAGAAATATAGATACATATTGTCTCTATATAAACATTGACATAATCATTATTGTCAAGAGAAAAGGATGAGGCCAATTTATTCTTGTTGTTTATGATATAGAAACAAAGGACGAGAGAGAAAATAATATTGATTTTATCCTTGAAATGAATTTAGTATCATGAAAAAAAAGAAAGATGATAAGGATCACTAATTCATTATCTATGTTATCATGTTTGAAATTATAATCAGTTTGATGAAAGAAGAGCTATTAACGAGAAATTATAGAATCGTTTTTTTTCTGCATGTTTTTATTGTGTTTTTGTAATGAGATATAAAAATAGGTTAGATTAATAATGAGCAGATTGTTATGGTGAAGATAATAATATGTAATCAGCATGTGTGATAATTTTATGCAAAGAATTATTATTTTTTTTTTGTCAAACATTATCCCACAGAGAATATGCCAAAAAAATTAAGTAAGATAATAAAACTCTTAGATGAAAATAACTGTAATCCTTGAAATTTTTACAAAGGAACAAAAATAATTAAAAAAAAAATTATATTTAGACACCGATTTTGATGATGATGGATTAGAAACTTTCAAACGTTACAAACCACGTAGTCTTGATGAATTAGCAAATCGAACAAAATTTAGTAAAAAAGAAATTCAACTTATCTATCAAGGTTTCAAACAAGAATGTCCGTCCGGTATGAATTACATTTAAATTTCTTTTTCTGTACCAAAAAAAAAAAAAAAAAAAACGAACTCTTTCATAAAGGTATTGTCAATGAAGAAACATTTAAACATATTTATGGACAGTTTTTCCCATTTGGTGATACGTCATCATATGCCCGTCTTGTTTTTGCAACATTTGACCTACGTTCGTCAGGTTGTGTAACATTTGAAGATTTTCTTATTTGTTTATCAACATTATGTCGTGGTACACTTGAAGATCGACTTCGATGGATATTTACATTATATGATACCAAAAAGTCTGGCAAACTCACCCGAGATGTAAGTTATATATTCAAACAACAACAAAATCATAAAGCCAATAAATCAATAAAAACATTTTGTTTCATATTAATAGGATTTTCACGTTATTGTTTGTGCTGTTTATTCATTACTTGGAAATGTTTCAAGTCCTTGTTGTGACCTTGAAACTGTTCGAGAACACACAGCTACTGTCTTTCAACGGTTTGACAAATTACATCATGGTTATATAACAATGGAAGATTTTATGTCGTTTTGTTTAAATGTAAAGAAAAAATAAACAACGAAAAAGAATGTATTTATTAAAGAAATTATGTTTGAAATTGTTTTAGGATCCAACTATAGTTCAATCAATTGATTCCCTACGAACAATGGTGTGATTATCAAACATATTTCTCAATATTCATTCCGTCGTCGATGCGTGCTTTTCTCTTCTTTTATTTTTTTCGTCATTTCGTTTAAACCTTCTAATATCTACTATCGAAAAGTACTTTTTTCTCTTTTATTGATGTTGTACACGCAGAAATCGAGGAAATTTGTAGTTATTGAAAAATAATGACTAATGCAATTTATTAGATGAGTCATATTAATATTATTTCTACATCGCATAGGTGTAGTTGTGTGTATATCTGTATCTGTTTTTCTTTTTCTACTTCAGTTAAAATTATCGTCGATTTATTTTGTTTGTTAATAAAAACCAGTAACCTAAAATGAATTTTTCTCATGATAAATCACAATCATATTCATTAATCTCTATTGATCACAATTCGAAGTTTTCAGTTGATGATATTGAATCTGTACTTCAGCCTTTATTTGGCAGTTATTATGGTACTGAACAACTGCGCACCATAATTTCTAGTGCGGATCATATATGGTGTGCTAATGATAGAGAAAAAAATAAGTGTGTTGGTTGTGCACTTGTGCAAAGCAATCATACGGATAGAGTGCTTTATATGAATCTATTTGGTGTTACAAAATCTCGTCAAGGTCAAGGTATTGGCACTCGTTTATTGAACACGATTAAAAAATGGGGACGAAAACAAAATTATTTAGCCATTATCCTACATACACAAGTAGATAATTATAAAGCAATTGGATTATATGAAAAAGCTGGATTTAGAAAACAATATTATGCAAAAGACTTTTTTCCTCCACGTCGATTCGTTTCATTTTTCCAATATCATGAACCGGATGCATATCAAATGATTTTATATTTGTAACAAGAAAGTCTTTTTTTCCCTTTTCTTAATAATAAAACTTTTATTCAATTATATACGATTGGTAATAACCGGAAACTGAATGATACAAAAATACTGAAACATATCACCATAAGTATGTTAAATTTGTTGTACATTTTGTAATAAAAATCATCTGAGAACAAATTGAAAAAAAAAAGTAGCGTGTTTACAAATACAAAAAGTAGACATTTTTTATTTAAATGTTCATCTATTGCAGACATCGAGTTTTATTTCATTCTTTTCACATGATATATCAAAGCCACCTTGAGACTAAATGATGAGTCAAAAGAATTCACTGAAGCGTAAACAACAGGCAATGATCATGAATATAATAATCCTTCTTTTTTTATTGATACTTAAAGCAAAATGCAAATGGATACCCCAATCGTACTGACATTTTATATAAAACCTTCACCAAATTCAAAAATTATTCGTTCAATTGCTTTAAAAGAATATTTTTCAAAATTAACATCAAATGTTGAGGTACTTTATCCGACGCAAATTAATTATGGTCTTTTATTATGTAAATCTAGACGAAGTAAATTGAAAATATTTATTAATTTTTTTTTTCATATATAAATTTTATATTTTATATAAGCGGAAGAAAAAATTTTAAAGATGCGTCATGTACTTTCAAATGGATCAACAATTCATTTATTTCAGTTAATTCGTCCATTATTTCAACAAACAAAATGTACAATTAGTGGACAAATAATGCAATTAAATCATATGAGCGCATTATTTCAACAATGTTTACCATTTATAAATGCTTCAGGTTTTTATTTGATTAAATATTTTTTTTTTAATTATTATTTTAGTTTTTTCTTTGGAGATGGAAAAATTCAAGTCAATCTTGATAAATCAGTTTTATTGGAAGGTCATATATATATATTAAATTCTATTCATTCATTTCTTATTAATAAAATATCTAAAAACGAGAAGTCAAATGATACAAATTCATCAGAATCATTAAGTTTACATAGTCAAAATACAAGTATTCAACTTATGAGTGGAAAACTAATTGAACAAAATGTTGAAAGTATTATGTAAGTTTTCATTTTTTTTTTAATATAAATTTTTTTAAATTTATCTTCTATAAAAAGAATTCCAATGTCTGATAAATATAAAATTCATAAAGCTTTTGATCGACAATTACAATCATTGGGTAGTACAACTATTTTGAATTATTTTAAAGAATTAAAAACGAAAAGTACATGTGCTCATGAAGGAGACGTAAGTTTTTTAATTGAAATACTCAAATAAAAGAAAAAATAAATAATAAAAATTTGATTAACAGGTTATTTTATTACCAAATCATGGATTAAAAATTCCAGCAAAAATCCTAACTTTTTTTATTGTTCCACGTATAGTAAATAATGAAGTAATAAAAGATAAATCAGTGATTGATTCATTTCAATCAATATATGAAAAACTAATTTATAATACTTTACAAACTCTGGAACAAAATGGTGCAACAAGTATTGCAATGCCGCTTCTTGAACCAAATGGTAAATAATGAAAATTGAATTTTTATTTTGTAATAAAATTAAAATTTTTTCTTCTTTCTAGTTAAACTTAGTTCAGAAAGACGTTATGCTAATGAAATGGCTGCTCGTGCAATGATAACTGCTATTCGACAATATTCTCAAAATTTATCAACTAGATTAAAACGAATTCTTATTGTTGATCATCAAGTACAAATAAGAAGAATGAGTAAACGTGTAAAAAAATATCAAAAACAACTTCAAATAAAAGAATTACTTAATAATAATATTGATCTTGATACCGACGATGGACATTCATTTACCTATATATTTGGTGTACCAAGAATACCCGAAATAGCATCAAGTTCAAGTGAAAGTGATGATGATATTGAACCAGAAGATTATCAACTTCCGTATAAGCATCATACAATAATTTAAACAAAAGAAAAAGGTTCAAAGATTTTATCAAAGAATGTTATTAATGTTCTAGAATTTCTGATACGCAATTCAATTAAAAGACCGTAGAAAATGAAAAAAAAAAACATATCGTTCTATGATTAATAAAGATATATTGAATGCTAAGAGAATATTTGATTATATGACAAAAGGCTATGTTTGATTTGATAGATCGTTAGTTTTGAATAGAAAATAATACAAAACAATATGTCATATCTCATATCCGGAAAATAATGATCACTCAACTATTTGGTCGAAATTATTTTCAAACGAAGAACAGCATACTTGATATAAGTGTGTCGAAGTAGTATTGAATACTTTTCCAAAAGAAAAACAAGATCTGGTTATGTGTTCTATAAATAAAAGGTGGGTTATGTACTCAACAGAGTTGATTTCTTTTATATAATATCATAATTATCAAAGGTACAGAATCTACCGTTAAAAAATATTGCGCCCAACGAAGAGAAATTCTTCAAAAATTCTCTTTGTCGTTAAAGTACAATAAATCTTTTTTCTTTCAAATACATACATATTAGAAAAAAAAAAAGAGAACAACACGATTACTATTCATCACAATGAAATTCTATGTAAAAAAATAAATTAGTTTCATCAATCATCAAATAATACTGATAGTCTTGCTTATTCTAAAAACGTTTTATCACAATTAAACCAAGGTTTTATAGTTTTCATGATAGATATTATTCACTTCTCTTATGGAATAGCACTAATTTGCTTCAACTAGTCGACGAACCACCAAGGGTGAGATAAAGAGTTAAGGGTAAAGATTAAAGTGATAGATTAGCAAAATAGCGAAGTTTTCTCACTTATTATCTTGCCTTCGATAATTTCGTCGCAGCTTGTGGCAAACAGTTTATTATGTGGATTATGAAAAGCAAAGGTTAACCGAATGCACATAACGCAAGTAGACGAAATGCTCTAATGTTATCTTTATTTTGAGAACCTAACAAAATATAATAAAACATAGTATAGAACATGTGAATGTTGAACGAGAGATGTATTGAATCGTGAAGAGCATTAAATAGAAAGTAGTTGAGTTGTTTTCTATTGATAATGAAATTATGCAATTTCTTCATGAACTTCCTGCACTGATTACTACAAGAGAAAACCTTTATTAGCTGATTTTCTACATTAGTTTTCTTCTATGCGCGTGGATACACACGGGTAAATTCTTCAGATCTAATGATCAACTATACTAGTTATTAGAAGTTCTGCTACCGAGTAAAAAGCACATAAACTTTAATCTTTTTGCTTGATATTTTGACTAGAAATAGAGTTCGGTAAAGTCTGTGATCGCAACTATTAACTTGCACTCGATAGATCTTCATGCAAAGAATTTACGATGAAAACACTGGCTGGTTCCCTAGGACTCATAAAAGGCTCTTTTTAGCACTCTTCTAATTTTTTATGATGTAAATTTGTTAACCTACATTTTATTATTAAAAAATAAAGATATATATATGTCTATATTATGTCACAAATAGGATATTTTAATCCGTTGTAATCAACTTAATTAAAGTACAACACTCATTGAAGAAAATTCCAAGGCTAATGAGTAAAATTAACCGAAAGTGTAGATTACTTTTTGATGATTCCCATAAGCTCTCATATGAAGATTACTTCATATATCAGGCAAATTAAAATCACTTGACATGGAATTTTTATCGATAATAGAAGTAGCACTGAGCTATCGAATGATATGCCTAATGTCATGAGATTTGTTTTCTATGTTAACCTACTAATTTCTCGGCATAAAGTCTGATAAAATCCTTATGATTAGAGTTCAAAATTTTCTATTTTTAATCAAACATATGAAACTAAATGATTAAAATTTAGGTATTTGTTGCAATTACTGTGTTATCTTTTACTATTTTAATTTTTTTAAATACACAGCAACATGAACATACCAATACATTTACAATTGTTTCGAAAGAATAATTATTATTTAAAAAGAATTAAATATATTTTCATGCCTTTCTATGGGCACTATAATCGAAAAACTTAAAATTAGATCCAATGCAAGAGATATAAATAATTTGTCATTCATATTCTATATACAATTATGTTTAACTTCTTAATGCTTGTAAACGTCGTTCCATATCATCTTCTTCACTATCAGCATCAACAATACCAACAGCAGTTGCTATTTCGGTTTCTTTCATTGTTGTTCCACCAACAGCAACACTTGGTAATTGAACGATTTTACCTTTAAAAGAAAAACATGAAACAGAAAATACAATAGAAATTTTTGTTTTCTCTTACCAGTAAGAACTTCGTCTAATACTTTAGCTATTTCTTCATCAGTTTCTTCTTCAAGGTCATCATTATCCATAGCAGCATCAACTGCTTCATTCATCATTTCACCCATAATGCCCATCTTAAAAGAAAATAAACAAATGAAAAAAAATACATATTGTTTTTTTCTTCTTTCAAATCGAATATTATACTTTAATGAATTCTTTTGAAAATTGTGTCGTTATCGTTTGAAGTTGTCCAACTTTCATTAATTGAGCCATTGAACGAGCAATTTCATTACTTTTTTGCATTATTCCAGTTATTTTAACATTAGCTAGAAAATTCTTCGAATCGAATCTTTGATTTAAAACGAAAAAACAAACGATAAATTACCTAATTGATTTTTAACAGCATTATCAATTGTATCAAGATTAGCTTTAGCTGAATATAAATGACTTTTATCATGTTTTATTCTTAAATAAAAATCATTTGACTTTTTTCTTAAACTATGAAGATCAAAGAAAAAAACGACTTACTTAACAATAGCTTTTGCTAATGTACGAAGTGCATCTTTATTATTATTAGCTGCATGTTTACGAATATCAGTTGAAAGACGTTGAATTTCACGATCAGATTCTTTTAGGAAAAAAAAAAAAAAGAAAATAGAAAATTTTATTAAGTAATGAAAAACAATTACGATTAATTTGTCGATCTAATTGACGTTTTTCATGACGAATTTGTTTACTAATCTCACGTGTCTAGATTTTTAGATTAAAACAAACAATAATTATTATTATTGAAAGATTGAATAAACAAACTTGTTCTCTAGCTTTTTCATAAGGAGTTCGTTTATCGAAGAAACTCATCATGACTAAATAAAAGGAAATAAATAATAATCGAATTCCATTCTTCAGGTGTGTTCGATTTTGTTATTTTTATTGGTTATATACAAACAACTAAGTTAACGTTGAGATAAAAAAAAAAAAAAAAAACTCGAATAAAATACAAAAGATAATTTATTTTCGAAATATTTTTTATTTGACAAATAGTTTTTTAAAATATATAAATATTATTTTTTAGTATACTAGCATTGATTGTAGCGCTTAATTCTCTAATTTCAATGATTCATTTAATATATCCTAATTCGTTCGTTTATTTAATTTTTTTAGTATAATAACACAAATGAGATATTTATATAAATATTTTTTTTTTAATTAGTCAACGTTACAAATAGAAAAAAAAAGGCAAAACTAGTCAACAAGGTTTGGTTTAAAGTTCCTTTGAATCATCTTCACTATCTTATCTTTTCATTTTTATTTGCTACAGATTTTTTTCTTTTCGTCATTCTCATTTTATAAACACACGAAAAAAGATAACTTTTATTATTTTAGATTGTGCTCTGTCACTTATTGTTCTACAAACCATAGCCATGCTAGAAATAATTCAATCATCATTTATTTTTCTTCTATTATTAATTGTGCCAAGTGTTGAAGCCAAAATGACAGCAGTTGATGTTATTGCACTATTGATTGGACTAGCTATTCTTATATTTGGTTTATGTGCTCTAATTGGTTGTTATGCTCGACGACGTAGTGGATAAATTTAGATTTTCATTTAAAATCAAATAATTATGTTTTGGTACTCTTTTTTTCTATTTTTTTAATAACTTAATATAAAATTATTTTCAAAATGTTACATCGTGTTTTTTTTTTCTTTTTTCTCTTATTTATATTTTTTTTAATAGACAACAACTGTGAATAAAAAGAACTAGTGATTTTTTTGTATTTGTGATAATTGTAGTATATTATGTCTGTATCACGATCATCAGCACGGCAAGTACATACTGTTTTGGGTGGTGGTATACGATATGAAACAGTTGAACTTGTTCTATCAGCGATACCTAATTTTGAATTGAAACAAAAAGGACGTATTCTTCATTTGTTTGCAGAGGTAAGGAATCACAAAAATTAAATATAAAACAAAAACGAAAGAATACATAGAAAAGTCGTTTTGATAAATATATTCTATAATAATCAATAGATTCATGATAAAATGATTTATGAAAGATCATAGGATTTTTTTGTTTGTTTTTGTCAGTGTGTTCGTTTACAATATGACTTTGTTCAATTAAAAGACTTGAAAATCGATCGAAAAGATTGTTGAGTAATAAAAGTTTGGTGAATGTGTATGCAAGGGTCTATCATGAATGTCTCGAGCGGAGAGAGGATCATCCTCTAATCTCGAGAAATTTTCGTTATATTTCACAGTAACGTTCAAGGGTTGTGTTCGTATTTTTGTTCACCAAATCTCAAAACAAAATGCTCGAATTCTAGCGACATCGAGACGCCCACGGGGTCTATCCATATAATATGACGATATACTAATTGATTATGAAAAGCTTATTTACAAGAGTTATTTAAGATAATGTCTTATTTCGTGACGACAAATGATTCACTTGACAAATCTGATGTTCGAACAGATAAGGAAATTCTTCAGAAAATTTCTTTTTCAACATTACTAATTCTTTTGATATATCACATCAAAATTGAGGAACGTTATATTTATAGATTTACAATGCTTTCGTCCAAGAAATTCAAGAGGCACTTGATGAACGACAAAATAATCTCGATAGTTTTCTTGTTCGTACTCAAAGTAATACATCATTAGCAGAACCATTTGCATTTGAATCACAAATTGATACTGATACATATCCAATTAATTTATCTTCAAAATCAACAGATGAATTATTACTACCATCAATTGAATCAGATAATAACATATCAAATGAAACTGTTCCATCATTAGTTGTTCCCAATGAAAAAGATCAATCTGAAAAACATCCATGTCATCAACAACAATTAAGTTGGACATCAGTAAAAGATACTTTTAATATTAAAAAAGAAATTGTAACACCAGTAAGACAAAATTGTGTTTTATCTTTTTTTCTTTTTCGTTTATTTTTTCTCTAATTTATTTCAGCCAAAAACAAAACGACGTCAATCAAAAACTTCATCTAATTCAAAACAAAAAAAATTATCTTCAATACCATCAATGCGTCAAATGACAATGACACAATTATTTGATCCAATTGAATCGCCTAAATCAACTAGAACTTCGACTTCTACTTCTATAAAACAAGAACCAGATATACCAGGCAATGATACAATAATGTATATACCAGAATCACTTATCGGTTTAGCCCAACCATCGGAATCAATGTCAGATAATGAAAGTGAACAAGTAAAATTCATTTTGAATTTTTTAATCATTTAAAAAATTCATAATTATTTTAGAATAATTTATCAGATTTATTGGCATCGATCAGACACAATAAAATATCAAATTCACCGTCATTTAAACGTAAATACATTCCTTCACCAATTATGAATAATCCAATTCCTGAACAAACAGCAACAACAACAACAACAACAACAACAACGGATGAAGAAGAAAATATTCAAAATGAAGCTCTTATTGAATCACCTTATGCTGGTATTGATAATGAAGAATTACTTTATGCTTGTCCAATGTGTCGTAATTATTGGCTGGGTCTACCTGAAGAACTTCGTCATAAACAAGGTTTAAAATGTCGTCATCGAAAACGACCAGTTGTTCATACACCAGAGCACTTTTGGTCATTAGGCATTCCAAATACACAAACATGTATTCAACGTGGTTATGGTGGTGTTCTTCCACCAGATAAACCAATAGAAAGACCAAGAAGGCCAAGACGACAATATCAACGAAGATTACAAGAACGACAACTGCAACAACAAAATGATAATGAAGAAGAATAGAGAATTTATTTATTTTTCTTATATATATTATTATGTCAGATTCTTTTCCTTTATTCACCATTTATTCAATAAAACAAAACAAAAAAAGGATCTTATGTGAATAATAGTACATTTTCTATTTTGTTCTTTAAATACATTGTAAAATATTTCTATTTATGAAAGAATAGGAGTTTATTTTATTGAAATTAGATGAAAGGTATCACAAATATATTGTAGAATAAATTAATTCTAGAATAATTCATACAAATAATAAACACTATTCAATGCTTTCAAGAACATGAATTTCAATTAAGTATTATCGACAGTTTCTATTGTACCGATGATTAACCATCAGTAGGTGGAACTACCGGAATTTACTTAAACCAACGGATTTATCTGTACGTTGCTCTGAGTGTCTTTCTTGTCCTCACTCTCAACAAATGTTCATTACAAAAAAAAAGGAGCGTGGATGTTTTTGGATAACTTTTGATAAAAACAAGATAAAACGCTCTTATTTTTTACCTAGTTGCATCTAATTATGTATTGTAGATTCTTCTAAGATATTTTCTCAAATTTCTTTAAATAAAATTTATAATAAATAAAATATCGGAAAAATGATTCATTTTAACATCAGAAAAAAAAGGAAAAATTTTGATTCTTTTTACAGCATTGCATTGAAAAATCGTCCGAGAGTTTTTGACTCCGATATCTATGACTTCTAAATAACTAAATCTAAAAATCTAAGTCTTATGCAGTTTTGAAGATCTTCCATTGGCGGTTTGGACGCACATCTGACAATTGATAATTCACTATAATCATCTGATAAGATACATTAAAGCTTGTCTAGCTAAAATGAACTATATTTGGTCAAATTTGAACAGTGAGATTTTTAGATCATAAGACAGCTGAATTTATTCTTTCAAACATGTTCTATAAATAATTTTCGTATATTTTCTACCGATAGATGTCATCTGTTTTGAATAATGACGAGAATAAATGGTAGCCACAAGTCAAAACCAAGCATTTCTTTTTTGTGCAGAAACAGCGAAAATAGAATCCTATTGTATTTTATCATATTTCGAACACTATCTTATCATTTAAAAAATATAAATAATCGTATTATTGTTAATATTTGAGCTACAATTTGACATCAATAGATCACTTGGCATTGTTGTCAAAGCTGTAAAAAATGTGCTTTTTTAGAGCGTATAAAAACAACAACAACAACAACAAGTGCGTTATCATAATGTTTTGATTATAACTCGTTGTAGGAACAAACTTTCAAAGAAAAATATCTGACCATCATAAGACTTGTTATCTTACACACAAATACAAATTAAAATATTTTATTGAGAGTAAGAAACTTTTGAGGAATGTGTACTTTTTGCATCACTCTAATGCAATGATTTCTTTTGGATGAATATGTTACTGTGACTTTCTATCCTTTTAGATTTATCACAGTTCGACCAAATGAAATGAAAATTTTAATGAAACTAGAATTTTCATATATCAAGATACAATGTAAGTTTCAGCTCTTCGTTATCTTAACTTATTGAGTTATGACAACGCAAAAGTTCGAGTTGAAAAAATTTCGAATATATGATTCGATGCATTGTTACCTTCTTTTTCTTAACATGAAAGCTGTAGCTCTCTATCTTATCTCGATCAAAAGTTAATAAAAAACAAAAATTCTATCCATTGTCTTTTGAAATAGGCATTAGGTTTTTGTACACAGCCTAATCCATTTCGTTGAATAATAAAATATATAGAAAGATTTTACATAAAAGTTCACCCATCTACTGATCAATGGATGATTTTAATTTCAAAAAACAACTGACTTTATTCACATCAATTGTTAAAAGCTTTTCAGTTTTAATTCTTCATAATCGAGATAAATTTATTCTTATTTTTTAAGACACAACATTATATATATATATTTTTTTTTTATTAAATAAAATTTAATCAATATAAAAAAGAAAATCTCTGCAATGCATTCATCATTTTTTTTTTAATAGTTTTGTTTATATTACATATTCATTATGTGTTACTTTACCATTAAAATCATCATCTTCTATTGTATGTAATGATGTATAAGCTCGTAAATTGAGAACAACAGGTAAATTTTCTGCAACAATTGAATGATGTACAATAAATGAATTTAATGTTGAAAAAACTTTTTTTGTTCCCTTGAAATAATTTTCATCAAATTTTATTTATAAATAATTTATAAATAAACTTACTCGTAAACGATAACCAGTATTATCTTGATCAATTAAATAATGAACAACACATGATCGTTTCATATATTTTGGTACACGAACTGAGAGAACATAGGTATTTGTTGATGTTACAGATGTTGGTCGTCGAACAAGAAAACTGCCAATTGAACGACATGATAATGCATCTTCTACAGCTTCTCTAATAAAAAAAAAATTTTTATTATTATACACATCGAAGTAGATAATAATTTATTTAATTTGCCTAGTTATATTTTCATGAAGCCATGGAGCATCTTCATCAGGGACACTTGGTGTTGATGGTAATGGAGATGGATTTGGAGCAAAACTAAATCATATTTAATATATTTAATAGCAATATCATATTATGATAATTATTGTTGATATATAAGTTTTAAAATGATCATGAAAAAATTCCGTAAATAAATTAGATTCTTAAATTTTAAGATCATTATTGTTTCTTTTTTTATCCGTTACCATTTTAACAAAAATTTCACTTCCATTAAAACTCAACATATTTTATTTACATTAGTTACTTTCCTGTTGATATTCATAGAAGGAATCAATTATGTAATTTCTTACATACCTTTTAAGAACTATTGATGATGGTCTATTAATAGAAATAATAGAATTTTGAATACTTTTAAAATCATCACTTAATGATGAATCTGTTTCTTCATTACTATCTGCTGCTGTTGTTGTTCCTACTATTGAATGTGCAGATCTTTTATCAAATAAATATCAAATATCGTTTTGTTTTTTTGAAATATAATAATATGTCAAACATACTTGCTTTTCATTCGTTGACTAGTATTGCTGCTAGCAAATGTTCGTCTTATTGTCTCAAACATTGATCTTGTACAAATGTATACTTAGCCTATTCTTATCTGGAAATAAGAGAATAACTTTGAACATAAACAATTTACCTTTTGTTGAAGAGAAAGAGAGAAATACAGAAAGAGAGAACAACTAAGTAAACGTTCTTTATGATGCAATTGACGATGATCAATGTGGTAGACACCAACAAAAACAGAAAAAAGAAGAGAGCGAGTGATGATAGACGTGTGAGAATAGTTGATTAGTTTATGGTCAAACAACAACAAAAACTGTATTGTTTGATCTTTTTCCCATCTTGGCATTATACAAAAATATCAAATAGCTGATAGTTATCCTTCTTCACCTATAGATGATGGTCATTCTGATAATCGATTAGGAATCTATCTCTTACTGACGACTGACCACTATCAACTACATTGAACCGATTGTGCAATCTGACTCTTGAGAAGTCAATGAGATTTTTTTTCTCTTTTTCTTCTTCGGATGGCCGATAGTATATATGTGTTATGTCAGTAACTATTCTATGTATTTCGGAAGATGAATACGATTGATATAAACACTATCAACAATAGATGTGTATGTGTATATGATAGGTAAAAGAAGATTGTATCTCATATGACATTCAACTTTATCGAAGACAATTATAACTTACTTTTGTTTCATTATTGGTCTTGACTAACTAACTATGTGTTATATTGATCAATCTTTTCTTCTCATCTTTCGTTTATAATTACATCATAAACCAGAATCGTGCATAGAGAAGTAAAACATTATCTTTTTTGATCTCAAGTATCTCAATTATATTTTTCTCGATCAAATCGAATACATGATTAACTAATCAATTTCTTTTATTCTTGTCCATTACGAATCACCATAAAAAAAAATGAGATCATATTTTTTTTTTCTTTTCAGAATTTGTTTCATTCTGTAATATTTCAAGATAATAAATGCATATATATATATATGAATGAACAAAAAAGCACGAAAAATATAATGGTCAACTATAAAACCCACACTTGAGAAAAAGAAATTAAAGTTCTGATATTTTATTTGTAATGAAGAATTAAACCACTTGATTACTCCAAACAAGCCATAGAGCATGAATGCATCCTGGTAGAAAACCAAGAATGGTTAATAAACTAAAAAAGAAATAAATAGAATATATTATTTAATAAAATCCTTGAGAATAAATATTAACTTACATATTTAAGAAAAAATGCAAAGTACAACCAACTTGAATTAAAGCAGCTGCCGGTGGAAAAATGATAGCTAAGATCGTTAAAAGACTTAAAAAGAAAACAATTTACATAAGTTAATTTTGTATCGAAACAACATACATAGTTCCAAGTAAACCCATGTTACCAATCGATAAGCAGTAAGGATAGAAAAGTTATGTATCTCGACAACTTTTTCTCTTTTTTTCTCTCACTGGTACAAGGATTTTTTTTCCTCTCTCTAACTTCCCACACAATAAAGATGCGTTAATATTGATATGCTTTTTCTTCTGATGCTCGCTTTTTTCTTTTCCTGTCATATCTATAAATGGTACCAATCCTTGTGCTCCGTATATTTAGAACTCATGTTTCTTTTTTCTTCCTCGCGTACTATATACAATCTGGTGCCATATTATAATAAACATTTTGTTTTACTTATTATTCTTGATTCTACACAACTCATACTTCAGACTAAACTATAATACATACGATCTGGTTGATAATGATCAGATAGTATTATAGGATTTTAATTCATTAAATACACTACAAAATATGATTCGTATTTGAAGGATATCCTTTCTATATTTCTGTGTAAATTTATGCCAAAACTAGAATATGATCAGTAAAGTGTTTATGTCGTATGCAAGATTAGAGACAATTATTTATCCAACACATCCAAAGGATGTCCATTGAGTGTTTATTCAGCTTCGAATATATGCCGTTTAATGTTGATGACGTGAAGAAAATATTGATCAGAATTCTACATCCAAGCATATACTAAACTATGCATCATTTACCAGCGTACTGTTTTTTTTTTATTCACTATCTATAGAGATCGTTAACCGCAAACATCAATTAATGAATTTAAAATTTCATCAACGTCTGTTAAGAAATAATGTCCATTCAAAAGAGAATTTCTATTTGAAATTCATTATTATTATTTTTTTTTGAATATTTTTATTTTATCAACTAAACACACAAAGTAATGCTCCTTTATAGATGACAACGATCAAATCTTTTTATTATTTGAAACAATTCATAGACAATGAATAAATCCTAACACAAAACTGAGAGAATCGAAAAGACGAGAAAAAAACAACTATATCATTGCAGATCCGTATAGGCTAAAATGTGAAACTTACATGTCTTCTTTTGGCTTTACTATACTATAGTAAAAAATACGTAAAGTAAATCATTTATGACAAATAATAATTGTTGTCCAAGGATAATCAATTTGTCCTAGAAGCAATCTGTCTTATTTATTTTTGCATTTCGAACAGATATTTTTTGCTTTAATATTGTTTTGCTGCCGTATTATTTTTTATTTACTATGATGTTATTCACTCGTTATTTATTTTTTCTTAATGTACTATTATTATTAATTCTTCTAAATCATTGATTTATCTGACAAAGAAATTTGCTATACAGATTCATTATTTCTACAATAAATCCTAACGTCATATTCTATATCGAGATACACTTAGAAATACTGATATTGATTATCTCCAAAGGTTAGAAATTCATTAATTCATGCTTTTTATATTGGTTAAATAATGATGGCTGTGAAAAATCAATACGTCACTAGTCATTTTCCTTGACATCTATTATATAATCATTTATCTATACAAAAATTTGAAACTTTACTATTTAGAACATTGGAAAAAATGTATTCCAACCATTTGAATTTCATGGAAGACTTTGCGCAACGTGCTAGGACAGTCTAAGCCTTATCGTTAGTGCTATTCAGTGCTTTTTTTCATTGCTAAGAAGCTATAGAAAAGGAATCTAATGTCTGTTGTCATCAGCTGTTGCACAAAAAAAATCGTACGCGATGATCTTTGTCTCAGATTGCTAAGGTCTCTAAGATGGTAGAGAAGGAGTGGAAAACGGTGACTTCAAACTTACACTCACTATTTTCCTTTGAAAAATATATGTCAATTCCATATGAAGAAAACAAAAAACTAATATAGTTCAAAATACATTGTTCATCAATCTTGAACGGAAGCAAAAATTATCAATATACTATATAATAAAATAAACACTAAACGAAAGTAAAGTAATTCTATAATTGAATTACCAATATTGTATTCTAGTCGAGTTTTTTTCATGTGCTTGATATGCTTAGGCCTCAAGATGTGTTCTTATCATATGACTTTCTTTCCCTAGACAAAAAATTTAAATGCTTGCACATGTTATGTGCACATTTCAAGCAACTAATTACGCTGAATTTATGAAAATCACACAAAAGAGAACACTAGAAACAATCAATTAAAGAGTTTTCATTGCCATTGATGATATCTGAATCTACTTTCTCATATTGATGTTTCTTTTTTTATGTTCTATCTGTTACAAACTTTGTTATTTAAGCTGCGAATTTTTATCATTAGCCGAATTGTTGTGAATATAAGATAGAAGAAACAAAAAACGAAAAGCACATTTAAAATATAATTAAAATTAATTAGTTTCAAGCATCATAGATATCGTTTTCATAGTTGTGAAAGGTGATCGAATTCCACGAAGTATACTATCACTAGCTTGCGATGGGGGATAAACTTTAATTGTTAATCTGTGCAACTCATTATGTTTTTCATAAATTATTTCGTTTATGATCATTCCATGAATAAGAATGTAAAGTGATGAAACAAGAAACTCAAGCACTTGAGCTTGCTAAAATATCTCAAGTCTTGCCTCATGATATGTCCATATCACATGACTTTCTTGCTCAACATACTCAAGAACATCATGCGCATGAAATAGAAAGTTCATTGTTCGATAAAAACGCATTATAATTAAAGACATTTTTTTCTTAACTTCTTTTATCATTCTTTACGTGAAAGAATGCGTCTTTTTTTTTGATAAGTCATCACATTCTCTGATGTGTTTTAGTTATGCAGCGATGTATAATTGTTATCAGTTAGTATAATAAAAGATTTTAAGTGCAATTTTATCAAAGCAAAAGAAAATATGTTTCAATCAACATTATTTCAGATAAGAATTATATTTGAACTTATTCATACAGTAAAAAAGTATGAATAAAATAAGTTTTACTAGTTATTAACATAAGCCAATATCGATTTGTGATCAGAATGTGATAATTAAATAAAACAGGTGAATTGTGGATTGATTACAGAATAAATAATAAGACAGTATTGATATAGATATACATTCAACGAAAATTGAATGATACATTGTCATCAGCAGTCTTTTTACTTGTACTATTTTTATGTCAACTTTTTACAGTTGATATGAAAAATATGAAAAAAATTCATTTTTTACATTGCAACATCTCTAAACTCTCAATAATACAAGTAAATTGTCTGAATTTTTTTTATCATAGATAGAACCCATTTAGGCGTTCTGTCGAAAAATATTTCATTGATATTTCTTCAATTAGAGCTGATTTATTTGAAGAATGCGAACCACTACGGAATTTGTTTTTCTTGATGAATTGAGAATTTAGCATTTCACTGCGAAATGAAGCGGTATATATTAATAAACATTTTATATACAAGTTATTCAATTTCCAACAAGCTTTCAAACTTATAGGACTCATTTCTTAACAAACATAATTGCATCGAATAAAAAATTAAAAGTACTGTTTCTGAAAAAACTTTCATCCTTTTCCCCAAACTTACAGTGTTATATTAGGACAAAAATAAGACAAAGGAAAAGCAACGAAATATTCGTCACCATTGTCGAATTTTATATGAAATTATGTTTTTTTTCCGAATATAAATGCAAAATTTTCAACTTTTTCGAGAAAAATTAAAGCTGAGATTTTGTTTACAATTCGATGCTAA